CCCATTAGCAACAAAATAAGCAATGATGTATCACTCATGTAGAGCCAGACATCTTAGAATGTGAAGTCAAGTGGGCCTTAGGAAGCATCACTATGAACAAAGCTGGTGGAGGTGATGGGATTCCTGTTGTGCTATTTCAAATCCTAAAAGATGATGCTGTGAAAGTGCTGCATCCAATATGTCAGCAAAGTTGGAAAACTCAGCAGTGGCCACAGGACTAGAAAAGGTCAGTTTTCATTCCAATCCCAAAGAAAAGCAATCCCAAAGAATGCTCAAACTACCGCACAATTGCACTCATCTCACACACTGGTAAAGTAATGCTCAAAATTCTCCAAGTCAGGCTTCTGCAATACATGAACCATGAACTTCCAGATGTTCAAGCTGGATTTAGCAAAGGCAGACGAACCAGAGATCAAATTGCCAACATTCGCTGGATCATTGAAAAAGCAAGAGAGTTCCAGAAAAATATCTATTTCTGCTTTATTGACTATGCCAAAGCCTTTGACTGTGTGGATCACAACAAACTGTCGAAAATTCTTAAAGAGGTGGGAATACTAGACCACCTGACCTGCCTCGTGAGAAACCTGTATGCAGGTCAGGAAGCAACAGTTAGAACTGGACATGGAACAACAGACTGGTTCCAAATAGGAAATAATCTGAAGCTCCAGTACTTTGGCCACCTGATGTGAAGAACTGACTCATTGGAAAAGACCCTGATGCTGGGAAAGATTGAAGGCAGGGGGAGAAGGAGGCGACAGAGGATGAGGTGGTTGGATGGCATCACTGACTCGATGAACCTGAGTTTGGGTAAACTCTGGGGGGTTGGTGATGGACAGGGAGGCCTGGCGTGCTGCAGTCTATGGGGTCACAGATTTGGACACAACTGAGCAACTGAACTGAGCTGATAACCTCATGCTTTAGAGAGATAAAAGAAAAGAGTTATCTATTTACCAATGCCAGAACAGAGTGTAAAAATAATGTTTGTGTAGTATTTGGCACAAAATTTACACCAAAAATTGATGCCATGATGCTGTCATACTGGAAGATCATTTTCTTTACAAATTAAACCATGTACTTATCTGAAATGGTTATAAATTATTTTTCATACTGTAATACGAACTGCCGGGGTCCAGCCTCGGCAGGATCCAGGGGGTACCCTCAGGATGAACAGCGTCGGCGAGAGATAGACTAACCTTGATAGGGCCAAGTCTGTGTTTTATTTTTTGACAACGGTTTTTATACCCTCACTCAGAGTGTATCCAGGATACAAAATGCTCACTCATGTCTATAAAGGGTTAGTTTACATTACATCAGTTTGTCCTTAAGGAAGAACAAGATGCTTTCTGCATTTTGTCTCTATAATAAATCTTTACACATTATCTTTTGGCCTTAGGGCTTATTAACATTTTATGTAAGTCAGGTGAATGTAAGCCTGTTTTCTGTTTCTGTGGTGAGCTTAACAGAAGAGTTACAGTCTCATAGGGCAACAGTACAGCATGTCACAACATAATAAAAATATGACCCTGTTAATACCAACATCAATTCTTCTGCAAAAGTTATCAGTTAAATTTATCTAAAAATTTTACCCCATACAGACTCTGCGGCTCTAATAAGGAAGCCTCTGCCTAGCACTCCTGGCTAATAATTAACAACTATTTCATTGTTACAATACTAGGGCTAAGCTCTTATTTTTCCAGATCTATAACTATATTAACAATGATTTCCATAGCACAGCCTTAGCACACTAAAAGCAAAAACACAGCAAGCAAACGTTAACCCAATAACCACTTTTATAATAATTTTTTCTTATATTATCTAATAAAACTCCTTCATCCCTCATTGCTCTATATCTATTAGGGCTCTTATATAATCAGGTTCTTTATGCTATTTTATGATTAAAACATTATAAGCAATCATGCATATTAGTACCAAGGGCATAAATGTATTTGACTAACAAACTACCAGCAAAGGAGCTCAAATTAAAACACTCCTTTCACCCTAAATAATCTCGTAAAATACCACCACCCAAAAAACTTATAAATTAAAGTTCTAAATTAATTCTTATTTAGAAAGAAATCTGGGAAGATCTTCTGCCTATAATACAGAAATTAGGGAGTAGTTTGTTAAAGCAAGCATCAGAAGAACAGATACCATCTTTAAGGTGAGCGCCGGGGGCAGCTTTGGGGCAGCTTTTCAGAATCCCTGAAAACCTGATCTGCCTTGCCCGTCAGGCTTTCTCCCCATGACCTTGTCATGGGTAGGATCTCGTGTGCTGGCTCCCGGCAACGAACAAGTGTTTTATTACTGCCAACAGTGAACTCAATCCATCTGAGCTTCCTTTTGTAAGAGTGGTAGGAAGAGAATACTAGCAATTAGTTTTCCTACTCTGTTCTGGGATCTCACGCGTTTATTCATTTGATCCACAGCACAGCTTTATAAAGTAGATACTATATTTTATTTCTATTTTACAGAAAAAAATGACTACTATTAACAAGTCTATGTACTGAAAAGAGTGAAGAGGTTAAGATCAAAGCCATGACTTCATTCATACAGAACATATACCTGAAATTGAGGTACACCCTCTTAGACATCCCTTTCCAATCACAGCCACAACTCCTAAAAGCTTATCTGTGGTTGCAAACTGTTGTTGCTACTTTCTTACTTCTACTTCTTTCCAATCCCCATATGCTTTCCTGAAAAACATTTCAGTAAAATTGCTCCAAGATTTCCAATGACTTGATAATAGCCAAATCCAAAGGACACTCTTCAGTCTTTATCAATCTAACTTTTCTGGCCTAATGTCTAACTTTTGGATTTTTTTCAGTTCAGTTCAGTTCAGTCACTCAGTTGTGTCTGACTGTTTGCAACCCCATGGTTATCTATTTTTAATTGGAGATGATTGCTTTACAATATTGTGTTGGTTTCTGCCATATATCAATATGAATCAGCCACAGGTGTACATATGTCCCCTCCCTCCCGAGCCTCCCTCCCCCCTCCCATCCCATCCCACCCCTCTAGGTTGTCACAGAACACTGGATTTGAGTTCTCTGCATCATACACCTAATTCCCAGTGGTTATTCGTTTTACATATGGTAGTGTATATGTCTCAATGCTACTGTCTCAATTCATCCCACCCCCTCCTTACTCCACTGTGTCCGTGGTGAGCCCCATGCATGCTGTAAGGAGAAGTTCCTTTCTGCATCTCATTTATTTAGGATCCTAAATGAGATTCTTAATTAGAGGAAATACTCTGTGAAATACCATGTTAACAGATCTAGCACAAAGACCAAGTATAAAATTCTAAGAAGTATAGAAGTTAGAGGTATAGGTAGAGAAGAGACCTTTAAGCATAACATGAAGAAATGGTCTTTTATCCAAGAGAGGAGAGTGTTTCAAAAGTTAGACATCTCTATGTCTACATTTCCATTGCTGCCTTGCATATAGGGATACAGACATAGATTACAACCTGCAATCATGGTAAAGGCTAGCATTTTACTCAGCACTGGAGGAGTCAAAATGGAGTTGGAGTTCTTTCAAAGCTCCCTTCTCGGAGACTTGTCATTATTTGACCTGTCTGGAAATTCCTTGGTAAACCATTCTAAAAAGCTTGTTTTTATGCAACCTGAAAGAGAACTTGCCCAGTACAAGCAGTATCTTCCTCAGAGCCATTTGTCAAGAACAATCAGCAAAAATCATTGAACAACATAGCTGCCTGAGGTGTTAGTAACAATTGAAGCAAACAAACTAACCAAAAAGCTTAAAAGAAAAAGCTGAGAAAAATTGCAAGTGGCACATTATATTGCAACTCTATGTGCCTCTCTATCACTCTCTTATGTGCTATTAATGAATATTCATTTTCCCTACTAGATTAAAAAATTACCTAATTTGAGAAATAAACAGCAATAAGAAGCCATGTTAATTGCTATAACAAATATATTATAAATGCTAACTTCTCTATTTTGAAATTTGTGATAATTTATAAAATTTTATTTAATATGTAAGATAATATAAAAATACAACACTCACCTGTCTTCATAAAATAAATCTCAGAATTTTAGTGCTGTTATTCCAGAACATTTTACAATTAAGGAAACTTGAGAGTCAAAGTGATTAACTGACTAAATGATCATTAACCAAAAGAGTCACATGGCCAGACAGCAGTCGAGCCATAGTAAAATTCTTACTTCATAACTTTCAGTCCAATTCTCCCAAGAGAAAAAATTTCTATGCAACACCAGCCACAAATGCAATATAGTGTGTTAGTTGCTCAGTCGTGTCCAACTCTTTATCACCCAATGAACTGTAGCCCACCAGGCTCCTCTGTCCCTGGAATTCTTCAGGCAAGATTACTTAAGTGGGTTGACATTCCCTTCTCCCGGGGATCTTCCTAACCCAGGGATCGAGTCTGGGTCTCCAGCATTGCAGGCAAATCTTTTACTGTCTGAGCACCAGGAATCACACATGCAACCGTATAAAATTACAACCATCTGTGTGTGGCTAGCTGCCCAGTTGTGTTCAATACTCTGTGACCCCACGGACTGTAGCCCTCAGGCTCCTCTGTCCATGGGATGTTACAGGCAAGAATACTGCAGTGGGTTGCTATTCTCCAAGGGATCTTCCCGACCCAGGGATCAAACCCAAGTCTCCTGCATTGGCAGGCAGATTCTATAAAAATGCAACTATATATAATTCTTGTTTAGCACACATAGCAATATCCCTATTTGGACACATATTTTTAAGCCTGTACACTTATTTTAAAATAATCAAACTTGAAAATGCTTATTGTTGAATTTAGAGTTTCAACTAATTCAAATTCTCATCAATTAATCAAGATTATTGAACTATATGGTACTTAAAATCAAAAATACCATGGCTAAGTAAACTTAAAACATTGGCTAATAAATTCAGAGAATGCAATCATACATTCAAATAAATGACCAAATCATTAACACTTATGCCAAAAATGGTACAAAAATTGTGAAATCTGTTTGTATTATTACCTGTAGCTCCAAGGGGGTGCCCCTTTGAAATCAATCCACCACTAGGATTTATGACCACTTCCCTCCATAATTATTACCTCCTCTATCAACCAGTTTTCCACCTTGACCTATGGAAGGAAAAATAATATTCATAAACCTTTAAAATAACATTGGAACATGTTATTAGATATGTTTGTTTTTTAAAAAAACTTACAGGAAGCCAAGAATATCTTGGAGCAAACATTTCTTGATGGCTCAAACTAACATCAAATTGATGCAAGCACTTCTAAATGTGAGGTAGTAAATATTGGGTAATAAAGGCATATATTTTCAGGACATTTCCTGCACAGAACAAAGCAAAGCTCCTATTAGTTCCTAAGAGCTCTCTACTTCCAAAATTACTACAAATATAATAGAGATTCAGAGAACCACAAGAAAAATACTGAAATGGATATAATACTGTAACTAAAATACTATTTGCTTTAAAAATTCTTAATTTTGACAAAGTGCATTCATTTCCATTTTCAACTGTACTGTTACATTCAATATAAATATTTTTAGTAAACAATGGGGAGAGGGGAGAAGGACAGGAGAAAAAAAGACCACTTTCATGAAATGAAGGAAAATGGCTGATAATACTGCTGAGCATTAAGGCTCCCCTGGTGGCTCAGGCAGTAAGGAATCTGCCTGCAATGCAGGAGGCCTGGGTTCAATCCGTGGGTCAGGAAAGATGCTCTGGAGAAGGAAATGACTACACACTCCAGGATTCTTGCCTGGAGAATCCAATGAACAGAATCCCAACAGTCCATGGGGTTGAAAAGAATTGGACATGACTGAGCGATAAAGCAAAAGAAAATAATTATATCACATGCTTGACAACTTCAACATTCTTATGAACTTCCAGGGGATTAACAGTAAATAAAAATGTATAAAATATTCTTCCAGATGATAGTTCTGGTAATGAGATATGGAATCTCCAAATAATGATGATAATGGTGGTAGCGGTGCTATCAGAGGTAGCTAATAGCTTCTATGCACTAACTCTGTCAGGCCTTGCTCTAATTATTTTATGTAAATTTACATAACTTAATTTAATCTTCAAACACCATGAAGTAGGCACTATCATTCCCATTTTGCAGATGAGGAAGCAGACATATAGATATTAATTAACCGATCTAAAGTCACAGCAGGGGACCTAGGATACTCAGGCAGCCCGGCTCCAGAGCCTGTATTTTTTGCCAGTATATTTTACGTTAAATCCTCTACAGACAAGCAAATTCTGCTCTGAGAGCACACTTTTAAGTCCAACTTCTTCGTAAGTCCAACAAAGTAAGGCTTGGTACCCAACTTACACAGTCAGCTATAGTACTATAGTGTAATAGGTTTGTAATACTTTTCACAGAGACAATACAGAAAAAAAAAATTAAGTAAGAAAGAAAGCATTTTTAATCTCATAGAACAGTACCTTGAAAAGAATAGTATAGTGCCAGCTATATCACTGTTGCTTTTATTCTTGCTTATGGACATCCTGGATTTTTAATAAACATACTGTACTTCTACACTCTATACAGCATTGTACATTAAAGTATACAAAAACACAACCACTTGTAGAAGGTGCGTTCACATGACAATGTACCAGACACATGAACTAACTAAGTTCACCTGTGTATGTATTTGCATCTTTGAAAATCAGCAACTTGAAAGATCATATGCAGGAGACTCACTTTATTGCCTTAAAAAAACAAAAAGTTTCTCTATTGGCTAAGTGAAACATACTATTCTATACCAGTTCTAACTGTTGCTTCTTGACCTGCATACAGGCTTCTCAGGAGGAAGGCAAGGTGGTCTGGTATTCCCATGTCTTTAAGAATTTTCTAGTTTGTTGTGATCCACACAGTCAAAGGCTTTAGCGTAGTCAATGAAGCAGAAGTAGATGTTTTTTCTGGGATGCTCTAGCTTTTTCTATGACCCAACGCATGTTGGCAATTTGATCAAAGGGACAAATAGCAGATAATAAAGTGGTCAACCTAAATCCTACTATATCAATATGTAATTACATTAAATGTTTATGACCTTTAAATTACACTGCCCAACAGAAATATAATGCAAGTCACATATGTACTTTAAATTTTACTAGTAAATAGTTTATTTAATAGATATTTCATTTAACCCAATATACTGAAAATATTTTCATTTAAAACTGTAAGCTATATAAAAAATTATTAGTGAAATATTTTATATTTTATTTTTCATGTTAAGTCTTCACATTTTGATGTGGGCTTCACACTTATAGCACTCAATTTGGACTAACCACATTTCAAGGATTCAATAACCACATAGAGCTAGTGGCTACTATAAGAGACAACACACATCTAATTATTGTTATTCAATCACCAAGTCTTGTCGGACTCTACGCAACCCCGTAGACTGAAGCATGCCAGGCTTCCCTGTCCCTCACCATCTCCTGGAGTTTGCCCAAGTTCATGTCCATTGAATTGGTAATGCCATCCAACCACCTCATCCTCTGTTGCCTCCTTCTCCCCCTGCCTTCAATCTTTCCCAGCATCAGGGTCTTTTCCAATGAGTCAGTTCTTCACATCAGGTGGCCAAAGTATTGGTGCTTCAGGTTCAGCATCAGTCATTCCAAAGAGTATTTAGGGCTTATTTCCTTTAAGATTGACTGGTTTGATCTCCTTGCCATCCAAGGGACTCTCAGGAGTCTTCTTCAGCACCACAGTTCGAAAGCAACAATTCTTCAGCACTCTGCCTTCTTTATTGTCCAGTTCTCACATCCGTACATGACTACTGAAAAAACCATAGCCTTGACTACATAGACCATTGAGCAAAGTGATGTCTTTGCTTTTAAACACAGCATCTAGGTTTGTCATAGCTTTCCTGCCAAGAAGCAATTGTTGTCTAATTTCATGACTGTAGTCACCATCTGCAGTGATTTTAGAGCCCAAGAAGAAGAAATCTATCACTGCTTCCACCATTTCCCCTTTTATTTGACATGAAGTGATAGGATCAGATACCATGATCTTACTTTGTAACCCCATGCATTGTAACCCACCAGGCTCCTCTTGTTCATGGAATTTTACAGGCAAGAATACTAGAGTGGGTTGCCATTTCCTTCTTCAGAGGATCTTCCCAACCCAGGGATCAAACCTGCACCTCTTGTGTCTTCTACAATGGCAGGCAGTTTCTTTACCAGCTGAGCCACTGGGGAAGCCCTAACACACATCTAAACACTCCATTAAAATGCAGATATTGGAAAATTTGATAAAAAAAACAATATACTATTGTCCACAAGAGACACATCTTAAATAGACAAATAAATGACACAAAAGGTTGAAAGCAAACAGATAGAAAAAGTTATATCATGTAAAGAAGGAAGCCTAAGAATGCTGGCACAGCTAATGTTAGTTGGATAAAAGAGAATTCCAGGTGGCTAAGATGGTGAAGAATCCACCTGCAATGCGGGAGACCTGGGCTCTATCCCTGGGTTGGGAAGATCCCCTGGAGGAGGGCTTGGTAATACACTCTAGTATTCTTGCCTGGAGAATTCCCATGGACAGAGGAGCCTAGCGGCTACAGTCCATGCATTGGCAAAGAGTTGGACACAGCTTAATGACTAAGCACACATAAGCACATAAACAAAGAATAAAACCTGAGATAAAGAAGAATATTTGACAATGAAAAAAACACAACTCATCAAGAAGACATAAAAACTGTAAAAAAACAGAGCTTTAAAATAAATTAAGCAAAAATTGAAAGAACTAAAGAAAGAGATAGTTCCACAATTGTAGTAGAAGATTCTAACATCCCTCTCTCAGGAAGTAATAGAGAAAGTCTGATAAATTATTCAAGCCATAGATCTAAAAAATCCTATCAATCATCTTGATTTAATTAGCATATATAGAGTACTACATCTTTCAACCTCAGAATCAACATTACTTTTCCAAGTGCATATGTTACGTTCACCAATATAGACCTGTGTGTGTGTGTGTTAGTCGCTCAGTCACGTCTGACTCTTTGTGACCCCATGGACTGTAGCCCACCAGGCTCCACCGTACATGAAATTCTCAGGCAAGAATAGTGGAATGGGTTGCCATTCCCTTCTCCAGCGATCTTTCTGACCCAGGGATTGAACCTGGGTCTCCTGCACTACAGGCAGATTCTTCACCAGAGTCTGAGCTACAAGGGAAGCCCCAATACATTCCATATGTTGAACCATAAAATACATTTCAAGTTAACTTAAGTTAACTTAAAAGGATCAAAATCAAACAAAGCATAAACTCTGACTACAACAAAGTTATAAAATCTGTGGCATGCAGCTGAAATACTGCTTAGAGGAAAACATACAGCTTTAGACACTTACATTAGAAATGGAGAAAGATCTAAAATAAATGATCTAAAGATCTGTTATAAGAAGCTTAAAAAGGAAACCCAAAGTAAGTTAAAGGAAGGAAATAATAAAGACCAGAGATGAGTGAAATGGAAGAAAAAAAATAGCAAAGCCAAAACCTGAAACTTTGTAAAGCTCAACAAAACTGACAAAGCCTTTAGCTAGATAGATGAAAAAAAATAAAGGAGAAAGAATAAAAATGATCAATATCAGGAATTTTAAAAAAGGCTTCGCCACAGATCCTATAGACATGAAAGGAATAATAAAAGAATACTTTGAACAGCTTCAGCCAACAAATCTAACTACTTAAATAAAATGGACAATTTTCTTGAAAAGTATATCTTATCAAAATTAATAGGCATTGGAAGAAATAAAAATTATAAACAGGCCCATATCTATCAACAAATTTTAATTCATTGAATTCCACCCCCCCAAAGACTTTAAGCTACTTGATTATACTGGTAATGTGACAGTCAAGAACTAACACTAATCTTACACAGACTGTTTCAGAAAACAAGAAAATGAGTGACCACTGCTCACTTTATTTTATAAGACCCGAATAAAACAACTTGGAAATAAAAGAAAACTAGAGCCAAATATCTTTTACGAATATATAAAGCAAATATCATTAAGAAAATGCTAGCAAACTGAATCAAATAATATATTAAAAGGCTCAAATAATATGACCAATTAGAATTAATCCCAGAAATATAAAGTTAGTTTAACATTCAAAATCAAGGTAATTCACCATGTCAGTAGAAGAAAGTACAAAATCCATATAATTATTTTCATAAATACA